TTTTTGAAGTGAAACTTCTTTACGCACGGTAGGGTAAGTTCGTTTCATGCGAGTTGCTATGTAACGAAATCATGCAACGCATTTCCCCCGCTGTCTGTCCCTATGTATGCTTAGATCTTTAAAACTACGCAACGGATTTTAATGCGTTTTTTTTTTAATAGATAGAGTAATTCAAGAGGAAGGTTTATATGTATGATACATGCATAATATAGTAGGGAAACACTGATAATTTTAGAGGTTTGTAATGTGATGTCGTAAATAAACACATTTTTTTGCGCTTACATTGCAAACGCTCACTGAACTCTACGAGATGGATCAAAATAATATACTACAGTATTGTACGCCTTAAAAAGGTCTACAAAAAAGTCCGTGATGGTATATGTTTATCTCTAAGGGATAACCCACAATAATCATTTTGTTTCTTTTGCTTTAAGCATTAATCCCTATCCAATTAAGTACTTTCAAATACATTGTGCATTTAATATAGATTAATATGGCCCTTTACAGCATGTAATTTAAATGAATATTTTCGAAGATATTACAGACTTAAAATGCAGGGACATAGCGGTTGCGGCGGTACCGGCCGGTTTGTATTGTCTAATGACAAGATAGCTGTGACTGTTGTATATAAAGACATTCTTAGTATATTTACTATCTATCAGCACTGCACCCGTGCGAAGCATAGTATACAAATAATACCATTAAACCAATTCCTTAACCCTTTTCCCGGTATGTTTGTGTGTTTGAAGAAGTTTCACTTCAGTAGCGTGTTCTATAATTACACGTATTTTTTTTTAGTTCTTTATTTCCAATTTTAACTAATTATATCGTACATTTACCTTTATTTTTTTTAATCCTATGTTTTCATGCATGCCCTATAGTTTCCCGCCGTCAATTTTTCTTCTTTTTCGCGAATTTAAAATAATAATTTACGAGGGATGGAACACAACCGAATGATAGGTACATACAGTTGCTACATCGATTAAGGACGAATTTTATGGACAACTTCTCATTAATAAAGGCTTTTAGAAGTTATTGGTGCTCTGGCACACATCAATATTAAGAGTAAATTTGGATCATATCTACTAAAATATATCAAACATGTGCATGCAAATTTGCTTAAAAAAATCATCATATATGCATTTATACATACTTTTTACTGAGTTACAGCACAGGATTTACGTTAACAGTAATTTTTACTTCATCATCATCATAAGATCGTTAGTCCTAAGACTTGCTGGACATGCGCTTCCACTCTTTCCTATCCTGAGCTAATCTTCGCAACTAGAACAACTCATATCCTTAATTATTTGCGAACAGTAATCTAACCTACTACTTCTACAATTCCTAACTTCCGCTTCTGCCAAAGTATGAATTATTTTAAATATTAATTATTGTAAAATCTTAGAAATATGACTTCATATTTGTATGCTATATGCATTTTCCATATAATCCGAACTATTTGACTCCCCGATCGCCTGTTCTGAATATTCCGATTAGATTTCTAAATGCTTTCTATAAACCTCGAAAACTTTTACATGACACTGAAGACCGTTAAATAATTAACTTACAGTAAAATTTGGCTCAACAAGGTGCGTTATAATTGATGGTATAGAATTATTACATGAAACACTTTAATAGTGGTTAATACTAAATATTAATATACATTAATGTGAATCTCATTCGTTTATGCACTACAAATTACCTGAATTACATTAATGTGAATCTCATTCGTTTATGCACTACAAATTACCTGAATTATAATAGTTAATGAGGAAAAAGTTGATACTGCTGCCACACCCATCGCCGGGAATCGAACCCGGCACCTTTGGTTTTACGCGCCAACGCTCTGACTACTAAGCTACGACAAATAACAACAGCAGCATGAACGAACCGTACCTATTAGTTCACAGATCCATCGAACTAAAATATATATAATACCACATAAACCACTTCAATAGTGGTTAATACTTAATATTAATGCACTGGGTACCCCAAGTAAACGTTTTTCGTCAATTACTGATAATAACTGATAACTAACTAATAATTTACAATTGAAGACACCAAAAAATGTTTCTTACAAAGGTGGTCCATATAAACATCATCATCATAAGGTCGTCAGTCCTAAAACTGGTTGGACACGTACCTCCACTTTTTCCTATCCTGAACTAATTTTCCCATTTCCCTAAAACTGTAAGAACCCATATCCTTAACTATTTGCGAACAGTAATCTAATCTAGGTCTACCTCTACCCTTCTTAACTTCCGTTTCTGCCTCTTATATATCTCTGACTAGACGTTCATGCCTGAGAAGGTGTCCTACTAACCTATCTCGTCTATTCCTTATTTATAGACTTCCATAGAGTCCTATTTCTTCTATTCTTTTTAATACCTTTTCATTTCTAACCTTTTCTATCCACGGTATCCTAATCATTCGCCTATAACACCACATTTCGAACGCCTCTAACCTTTTCTTTTCCTCCGCGCCCACTGTCCATATTTCGCACCTGTACGACGCTGCGCTCCAAACACACCTTTAACAACCTTTTTCGAATTTCTAAATTAACCGTTCGCGAGCATAGAAGTGACTTCTTTTTATTAAAGGCGACACGACCCTGCGCTATCCTCTGCTTTATATCCCTACTACTCCTTCCGTCCTGACTTATCTGACTTCCTAGATACATAAAATCGCCCACTTCTCCTGTCATTATAATCGCTCTTTCCCTACTTTTTCTTTTCTTGCATACCAGCATTTTTGTTTTATTTTTATTTATTTTCATGCAGTACTGTTTTGTCAATACCTCCTCCATTTTATTTAAAGCTATGTCTAGGTCCTCCTTACTAGATGCTACTACTGCTGCATCTGCAAATCTTAGCTTTCTAATCTTTTGCCCTCACAGTTGTACTATCTTTAATGATGTTGATCGCGTCTTCGATTTATAGATAAAAAAGTAGCGGTGACATTGTGCATCTCTGTCTGACTCCCTTCCTAATATTTTCTTCTTGACGTTGCAGCCCCATAACTGCCAGTTGCTCTTTATACAAACTAATAAGTATCACCCTTCTATCTTTGTAAGTCATCCCTACATTTTTAAGTTTATTAAACATCTTGTCCCATTTAACATTGTCAGAAGGTTTTTCTAAATCTACAAATCTTATGTACGCACTCTTTCTTTTTTCTATAGTTTATTGTTACCCGTAAAACTAGAATCGCTTCCCGTGTTCCTCTATTTCTTCTAATTCTTGGCGCATGGGAAGTTAAGCTAGTTTCTCTTTTTAGATATAAAAATAAGTCCGGCATATTGAAAATATTTTTACGTCATTATTTACTTTACTATTCTTCTCTATTTTATGTACGAGTATGAATGACCGATTTCATCTTAGTGATTCACCCTGTATACATTGCTTTGGTTCGACTGATCTATGACCTAATAAGTGGGGTTTGACGTATGTTAATGGTCAGAGCATTAGCACGTAAATCCAAAGGTCCATCGTTCCATTTCCGGCGAGGGTCTGACAACAGTAACAATTTTTTTCTCATTAACTTAAGACAATTTATTGTTGATAAATTAATGAATTTCACATTAATATGTTTTAAGAATTAGCATGAATTTTTTTTAGATCTTGTTTTTAAAATAAGATGGTCGTTTTTTTCCGAAACGGCGAAGTTTTCTAGTAAGTTCTCGTTGCAAGACACTTAAATTAACCAAGAATTTTAATGATATAGTAAAATACAGAATGCTCGCGAAGGGTTAATTTAGGAATTCGAAAAAGGTTGTTAAAGGTGTATGTTTGGAGTGCGGCGTTGTACGGATGCGAAACATGGACAGTGGGCGCGGCGGTAAAGAAAGGGTTAGAAGCCTTCGAAATGTGGTGTTATAGGCAATGATGAGGATAACGTGGGTAGAAAAGGTAAGAAATGAAGAGGTATTAGAAAGAATAGGAGAACAGAGGACTCTATGGAAGTCAATAAAAAATAGGCGAGGTAGTATGGTAGAACACCTTCTCAGGTACGAAGGTCTAGTCAGAGACATTTTAGAAACAGAAGCAGGTGTTAGGAAGAGTGGAGGTAGGCCTAGATTAGATTACTGTTCGCAAATAGTTAAGGATGTGGGTTGTTTTAGTTTTAGGGAAGTGCGATGTTTAGCTCAGGATAGGAAAGAGTGGAGATACGTGCCCAACCAGTCTTAGGACTGACGACCTTATGATGATGATGATCAATATTTTAACAACATGAGTACCTAGACACTAACTGTAAGATTTTCTAGGAAATTCCTTAATTATAAATTTGTTAAAGTTGAAAAACTAAAGTTGCAGTTAACTGTCTTTCAATTTTAGTATAAATGTTGTGGTGTTATCGGATCTAATGAATATCAGGAAGTTCCAAATAGTTGCTGTGAGGGTAAGGGCAGCTGTTCCCATTCAGATGCATTCAAAAAGGGCTGTCTTGAAGTAATGTTTAAGGAGCAACAAACATACGGTTATCTGTTTGGTTTAATTCATGTTATACTGCTTCTTTGCGAGGTATGCTTTTTAAATATAAATTTGTTAATCAAGTAACTTCTTAATCCCTATACATAATCACTTTTAAATTTTTAAGATACTTAGTATTGTTTTTGTTTTGTTACAGATTACTGCAGCTGTCTTGTCCTTTTATTTGATACTTTGAGAGAGTAAACATAATAAATACAAGGCTACATAGTAAAAGTTGAAAAATCGATTAACCTATGGTGCACTCTACATTGTAATAACTGCAAATTACAAAATAAAAAGTATAGTATTACCGTTTAGTGTTTTGTTGAAGTTTAAAATTACACACTAAAATAATGAAAGATCCTACCGTAGATATCTTGGGTGCAAAACCGGAAAAGTAGCCCTCAGCCAGTCGGTAGAGAATTTTCCCGACATAAATTTGTTACCGGACGGGAGTCGTTCCTTGTTGTAGGCGGGAAAAAGTTAAGCATCCCTGTACATTTTTAAACTACGAAAAACTGTGTGTTAACAAATGGGGAAGGTTCAAAGTTGGCAAAAATCAGGTTTTTAGGTCTAGAAGGCAAGGTGTGCCTTCAAATAAAAATTGTACAGAAATTAAAAACCTTCAATTTGAGCGATCGATTTTGTCAATTGGTTCTTGCACAAATCCCACGAATTCAACAACAGCACATTATATTACCACTAAAACAGAAAGTATTAATTGTAATTGAAATTATACCAATGTTTATAATTTTTTGTGTTATCCCAGATTAAAAAAAGGAAAACAGCTCAATCCGATGGAAATTTTCGTTTCTTAATGGTTAAAAACAATTAATCTGTGATGTTTAAAAGAAATAATGTTAACTCGGTTCCTATTGGTCGTAGGAGACTCGTTTTGCTCTTTTAATGTTTGTTTCCAAGTCGCCCTTTCACATTCCTCGGTTAAAAATTCGTACGTTACGTAGGGGTCGCTCCAGCTCTAATTGCTTATACAGAAAAATGACCCCCTTATTTGCAACAATAAATAAGGGGATAGAAATGAATTTTTTGATTTGACCCTAACGGAATATGAAGAACTCCATCTTTACAAAGAGATTTGCAACTGAAAATGTTTGATCAAAAAGAAGTTACGGCAATAACTATTCATGTCTGTTGAGATAAACAATTAATATTTCACTAACAAATTGACCAATTTACGCCCACAAAAACTAGCTCGATTCCAAATTTAAAAACCTACATTTCAATGTGATGAAATCGTTAAAGAAGTAATGGCAATTTATGACGATTTTTTGGGATTTGTGCAATAACCAATTGACAAAATTGATCGCTCAAATTGAAGGTTTTTAATTTCTCTACAATTTTTATTTGAAACTTTTCTTTCTAAAAGGCATACCTTACTTTTGGACCTTCCCCATTTGTTAACGCACACTTTTTCGAAGTTTAAAAACATACAGGGATGCTTAACTTGCCCGGCTCACAACAAGGAACAACTTCCGTCCGGTAACAAATTTATGTCGGGACAATTCTCTACCGACTGGACTACCTGTCATTATTTTTTAACTATATTCAATGTCCCGTTACAACGAAAACCCAAAATGTGATTTTTGTAAGGACTTTCGATACGTTTAAAATATTAAACATTGGATTGCATGACTGGCACCTGACCAAAGCGTTCCTTGAGGATCTCATTATACCAAAAAGAAAACTAAATTTTGTTGCAACACGATGAAAAACATAGTAACTGTTGTCTACAGTTCAACTCGAACGCCACATCGTTAAAACATAGAAATGAAAACACAAATAAGTTACCATAAGGCAGTATAACCAGTAGTTTCTAAATTCACCCGACCAACTATATAAGCAATTATACTTCGTTTACTTTCTGTAGCGATGTAACCTTCAGTGTGACCGGCGCAAAGTAGAAAAGAACAGCACTAAGCCAGAAAAGGAAGGAGATAACTCTCGGCCAAACTCTTAACCAGTGAGGAGCGTATAATCCGTACATTACTACACGGAAAAATTGACCATTTTATCCACTAAAAATGCATTGCTCAAATGTGCTGTTATTGGTACCAACTACTACTGAAAATATCAACGAGATGTTTACTTATACTGAAGGCATATTAAAGGCTTTGACGCTTGTTTTCGACTCACACTACTATTCATGATTGAACAAAACTTTTGGCAGGTACTGTATGTAAAACTAAGTTTAATGAACAAGAGTCGAGAGTATAATGGGCTTTTTTCTCCCTACCTACGATTTTGCCAGCGCGCATCCAAACATTGGAAGGGGCACATCGCTAGAGAAAGTAAAGGAGTATACCTCCCAGTTCGTGAGTTGCCATTTCGAGACTTGGCTTATTTACTTATTCTAATATAGTTTAATTTATTATTTGCATATATAGAATAATGTTGTCGCACTTCGGCATTGCTTCTGCAAATGATGATCAAACCGAACTATTGAACTCATCTCCATATATTCCATCAACGGAAGTCGCATACTTTTAATATATGTTTTAATTTGTTTTTTTTTTACTACCAAATCATTTATATCATTTAAAGCGTAAGGACGACCGCGAAAGTTTTACTTAATTTATCAATACAGAAATAAGTGCCTACCTTGCTGGAGGTGAAGGAGCACTATAAAACACGAAAATTAAGTAAATGTCTGTATGTCCGTTTCCGAGATAAATGTAGTTGAAAGTAGAGGTAAATTTAATTCCGGTCCTGATAAAAGAGTATCTACGGCCCGCAACGCTGCACTCAATTAGCTGGTGATTTTCAACATCAGTGGGTCATGTGTTTTGTATTTCTTTTTTGGTCATGCATTGCTTATTTGTTAGGTTAGATTAAGAGTGATGCAGCGTGTTAACAGGCAACCTCTAGTACAGTGTACTTCAATTTGTTAGAATTGTGACCTTGAAGAAATCTGCGCGAAGATAGAAAGAATACACACGAGGCGTCAGCAAGACAGAAATAGTTGGAACATGCTTGAACGAGTACAGCTCTCGATGCGCGGTCTTAGGAGATCGGCTGTACAGTACTAGACGAAAATATTTAGCAATTTCTTAAAACAAAAATGTATTTAAACTAACAATAGAAAACAAAGCAAAAGTTTTATAGGCGTGTAGAGTGTTTATTCAATTTAGTTGTTATTATTACGGCTAAATATGCTTTTAAATAAATAAAAATATCATCACTATAATATACTGCTACATTAATTTTTTGGTTATATTTTACAGTAAGTATATTACAGTAAATGTTTAGGTAACAATAATTAATATTTATTTATGGTAAGTGTGAGTATTATTATGTATTAATTCTAATTCCTTGTAGTTATTGATAGTTTACGGTTTCTTAAGCACTTGAAAAAATAAACGGAAGCAAAAAAAAATCGACCATTTTTTTGTGATTGAATTACATAAAAACGTATTAAACTAATACTCCTTAGGTGGAATAAAGATAAAATATGTTGGAAAACATAAATCCTGAAAATTCTCGTAATCTCTCTTTCTTTCACCAACCATTACTTATTCGTTATAAGCGTATAGAGATCGCCAAAGAAGTTTCACTTCTTTCACGTGTACCTACTGAGCTGCACCTGTTTTTGAAGTGAAAACTTCTTTAGCGACGTTGGGCACTTTTTGGCAGGGGAAAATGTTCTGGGTTGCCGTCACCGACATGCTCACGACTGGCGCACGCGCAGCGGCCGTGTGCTGTAGGCGTTAGACGCTTTTAGGATGGGTGAAATCTAGTGCGTTCGCGTCACCGTAGCAGCACTTGTAGCAGTATATCTGAGTGTATCTGTATCTATACAGCCAGGACGATCGATGCGGTTTTTAAGCGATACTTAGATAAATTTCAATCAAACGTTTTCATTTCTTACTTTAGTTACCATAAGCCTTTTGTATTTTTTTTTAGAACACAATGAAATAATTGAAAGTACAAAAAGTCTAAGAATTGTTGAAATTAATAATGACAATGATGCAAACAATGTTAAAAAACAAGTATGTACATTGAAATTTATGTAAATATTTGAATAATAAAAAAACATATAAACATGCATATAATTGTTGCTCGGAGTGTCAATAGATGTGAAAAGCAGATTGATGTTGATAATTTTCATTCAAACATTGTGAAATTTTAAATTTTAATACTAAAAGTTCTATGTTTTCACTTCTATCGGCAGTCTCTATAACTGCCAATTTTTTATACAGCGTCACCACCTGATTGATCATAGGGGAGATTCTGGAAGTTCACAGGTTTTGATTTGTGAAGTTGTAAGGATCATTAGTGAAATTTTCATTTAAGGTTTTTGTTTTTATGGTAAATATATTATTGTCTGTCTAATATGGCGATATTGTTTTAATTATAATTAGCTAGTTATTACTTAGTGCACCCCAATTGACAAAATGATTAAGTGTGAGCCCTCAAATGTATACCAATTAAAAAGCAGATCAAAAATTATAGTAGACACTAACATCATCATCATCATAAGGTCATCAGTCCTAAGACTGGTTGGACACGTACCTCCACTCTTTCCTATCCTGAGCTAATCTTCGCATTTCCCTAAAACTAGAACAGCCCACATCCTTAACTATTTGCGAAGAGTAATCTAGTCTAGGTCTACCTCTACCCCTCCTACCTCCTGTTTCTGCCTCTAATATGTCTCTGACTAGACCTTCATGCCTGAGAAGGTGTCCTACCAACCTATCTGGCCTATTTTTTATTGACTTCCATCGAGTCCTCTGTTCTCTTATTCTTTCCAATACCTCTTCAAGATACTAACATAAAAAAATAAAAATAAAATGTACTATTTTATAATAACGAAAGTTATTATTTTATTTGGAATATCGACAAGTACCTACATTTTCGTCATTATATAAGTTTTACATTTTAAATACTTAAGTCAGTCGTAAATTGATTAAAAAAACGTTGCATAGTTGCAATTGGGTGGATATAAATGGTATCTCAAATATTCACGTAAAAAGTAATTTTGATATATAACACATGATTTTAATTAAAAATTGTGAATATTCGACGGTTATAATGACACTTATTCATACATATAATTTTGTAAAAATGTGGCTAAATTTCGCTGATACAGCACTAAATTGAACCCTTCAAAACGTAAGTGGACGTGGACTTCTTGGCATGAACCGTAAACTTCAGAAACACTCCCATGAGAAAGTCCAATAGCGATAAGTCACATGATCTCATGGGTCAAACACGACCAGGAAATGACTGATACAATAATATTGAATTGTTTCTCGGATTGTCATCATTATAAGGTCGTAAGTCCTAAGACAGATTGGACACGTACCTCAACTCTTTCCTATCTTCAGTTAATCTTCCCATTTCTCTAAAACTAGATTAACCGATATCCTTAACTATTCGTCAACAGTGATTTAATCTAGGTCTACCTCTACCCCTCCTACCTCCCGTTTCTGCCACTAATATGTGTCTTACTACTACTTGTATGGCACTTAAAAAACCGCATATTGTTCGCATCCCTACTATCATATGACGATAGCGATAACCATTGGCTGGTATTACCTGACTAGACTTGTTGAAGGGCGATTAGAGTCAATTCATTAATCAGTCTCTTCAAAACTGTTAAAGTTGCAAAAATTGCAAACTGTAGATGTCAAATCTTCATCATTTTTAAAGTGAAACTTTTATTACATCCTTCAAATTTTTTCGTCCGTTTATCCCATGTCGCATTACAGTCGGCCGCGGAGTAAGGGTAAAACTGAAAGATGCTAGGCAGAGCAGCCAAAGCCAATATGACGGAGCCTATGGCTTGCATTAGCTAACCGTGTCGCCTTTATTCTCACACATTCGTGCAAATGCATGACAGTTACATTTATAGACTGTGAAACTCAAAGCGAAGATGAAATTATTGATAGAATAACAGAAATTCAAAATGATTTAATGATTTAAATAAATTGTAGGATGTTCTCAGTTTTTAACATGCGTCTAAAATCATCTGAATAATACTGGGGTTTGGTATATCTTAAAAATATCGATAAAAAAGTAGGCGATAGGTATATGTTTATCTCCCAAGAATAACCCATAGAAACCATTTGTCACGCTGTCGAGAGTAACTTCTAACCTAACCTAACCTAACCTCTAAAGAGAACATATTTGTACTGTATCACCAAAAAGCAGCTGTAAATATTGTATACAAACATATTCTGTAATATACACCAATCATAATCGTAATATTATTAATTACTCCACACTGCCGCACATTACTATCTACATTCCATGCGTGCTAAACCGGGGCGAGTCGCTAGTTATGTATAAAAATAAATTTCGTAAAAGTTACATAGCCATGCACAAAATTTTATCTTGAGACACAGTGTGATGGTTTATAGATATACGAATTTAAAAAAAACACTACAAAGCGTTTGAAGGACGCGCTATAGCAATTGACGCGTGTACCTTCGATAAAATCGAACGAACATTAAAAAATGTCCACTATATAAAAGCATATTCTTAAGTTTACTGGTCAAAAAAAATACGTTAAAATTAGGACAATGCTTTTTCAATGATTAGTAACAAATTGTGATAAGATATTTTCATTTTCTTTATCCCACATGGAATTAGTTGACAAAAAATTCCCAAAACAATAAATTGTTACAATACATTACTTGGTTGACTATATAGCTTCATTAACTTGAACGTTCTTAAAGCAGTAAATGATGATTTTCCAAAGACTATGTTTCGTCAGGGGTTGCGGCTGACATCCTCAGTTGCCTAGAATACCGTCTTATTTTGTTTTTTATAGCAACATCCATTAACATATTTATCTAAAAGATTTGAGAATATATCGATTATCATATCGACGCAGTTTGAACAAAAAGCGTAACAAGAATTTTATCAACAGAAGTACTTTGAAGATAACTTTATAAAATGAGTCTCAACCAAAATCTATACAATATCTGTGTCACAGGCAGAAATGAAGCAAATTTCCTTAATTTTTATTGCATCTTCTTTGGTTACGGTAAAGCAGTGATATTAAATTAGAAGTCTAGATTAATTATGAATTTAATTTCTCATAATAGGCTCACGTAACTACGGATTGGTCTAAAGTTTTACCTACCCGTGAAACAGCTTACAGAGGGCTCAGCCAGCTTGAATCCTCCAAAGATGTAAAGATCGTGGGAGGGAATGAAGCTGCACCAAACTCCATACCATACCAAGTAAGTATTAAATTATTTGGAATACGTAATTATTAAACATACATACAATTTTTTAGACATCTTTTAGAAGTGAGTTAGTTTTAATATGAAATATTATTCTGAAAATTCATTTGTGAATTTTTACCCACTACACACTTCCTCAAATTAATGAGGAAAAATTTGTTGCTGTTGTCACACCCCCGCCGAGAATCGAACCCGGGCTCCTTGGCTTCACGCGCCAATGCTTTGACCACTAAGCTACGAGAGATGACAACAGCAACAACGACAAACCGTACTATTAGTCACAGATGTAGATGACTAATGTAACTATGTACTGAATATAAATATATATACAATGTAGAAATCTTCCCGAAGTGAATTAGTTTTTAATATGAAATATTCTCAATTTTTACCCACTACACACTTCCTCAAATTAATGAGGAAAAATTTGTTGCTGTTGACACACCCCCGCCGAGAATCGAACGCGGGCTCTTTGGCTTTACGCGCCAATGCTTTGACCACTAAGCTACGAGAGATGACAACAGCAACAACGACAAACCGTACTTATTAGGTCACAAATCCGTCGAACTAATATATACTATGATTAAACATACATACAATTTTTTTAGACATCTTTTAGAAGTGAGTTAGTTTAATATGAAATATTATTCTGAAAATTCATTTCTTGAATTCTTTTTTTTTTGCCCACTACACACTTCCTCAAATTAATGAGGAAAAATTTGTTGCTGTTGTCACACCCCCGCCGAGAATCGAACGCGGGCTCTTTGGCTTTACGCGCCAATGCTTTGACCACTAAGCTACGAGAGATGACAACAGCAACAACGACAAACCGTACTTATTAGGTCACAAATCCGTCGAACTAATATATACTATGTTTAAACATACATACAATTTAGACATCTTTTAGAAGTGAGTTAGTTTTATTTTTCCTCATTAATTTGAGGAAGTGTGTAGTGGGTAAAAATTCACAAATGAATTTTCAGAATAATATTTCATATTAAAACTTAATTATTGATCTAAAGTTTTGGGTGCTCGTCAATCATCATCATCATCATCATAAAGTAATCAGTTCTAAGACTGGTTGGACACGTACCTCCACTCTTTTCTATCCCTAAAGCTAGAACAACTCATATTCTTAACTATTTGCTCGTCAATACAGTTTATAATTTAACATTACAAAGAAACCAGCTTTTCCCGCGGCTTCGCTCGCAGAAATTAATATTGTTTCTCCATAAAACCTTTTAACTCCCAATTAACCCTTACTACGTTTTAATTTTATGTAATGTCGCCATCTAAGCTTCAAATACAAACGTAGCAACAACATTTCACCCTTAAGGGTTGATTTTTAAAAATTGCCAAAATTTCAACAATGAGCAACCTTCGAGTGAATCCGAGTACAAATAAAATATACCCCATGGAAACGTGCAACCTCTTTTCATTTAATTCATAATATCAAACGGCATATATACCGAGTTTCAAGTAAATTCAACCACAAATAAAGTATGTCTTAAACAAAAATTGCAACACCTTTTTACCCCCCTTTTCTTTGGGGGTTGAATTTTTAGAATGTCGAGATAGGTCTTTCAGAAATTAAATGAGAGACCATTAAGACCATTTCAACATTGCAGCTCCTGTTTACCACTCATCCCTCCCCCCCAACAGAGATTGAATTTTTTAACCAGTTTCAAGTAAATCGGACCAGAAACAAACATGCAATCTTTGCAAAACCTTTTCAGCTCCCTAAAGAGGTAGAATTTTGTAAAATGTTGAAATAGGTATGCATGTAAATAAAACACCATACATAACTATAGACAACATTACGTTTAGCTGTAAGTTGCGTTTTGTTATACCATTTTTAACAAATGAACGGTTAGACTGATGTTTTGATTGATAAATTTTTCGTTTTGCTATCAATTGCGTTTTATCGTCATGTCAGTTGCGTTTTCTTATACCACTTTTCTCCACGAGAACGGGATAAAATATCCTAAAGTATCCTATGTCCGTCTGCTGGTTCTAAACTGCCTGCCCATCAATTTTCAGTCAAATTTGTTCAGCCGTTCTTGAGTTATAAATAGTGCAACTAAAACGAATTTCTTCTATATCCTTTAAGTACCGACGTGCGGTCTGAGAGGCCCCGGCAGGAACTTGACTTGTTAGTTTACCCTTTCCCCCGCACAATACCGATCCCCGCTTTTAAGTAGCTGTGAGTTTAGTGCCCATGTTTACGTTGGAACAATCAGTGTTGTTGTCGCATGCGTATTTGGTGAGTAATTACCTTTTGAAATTCCGACGCGGCCTCTCAGGCCTCACGTCGGTACTTACGTAAGTTTTTTGTTTTATTTTTTTGTTATAGTAAACTGTTATTTTCACAGATATTATGAACTATGGGTACACCAGGGAAAAAGGGAAATACCCCCAGAGTTCTTGCCTGCTAAAACGAGACCAGAAAAATCAACCTTATATGGTTTTACAAAAGATACCACGTTATTGTCTCATGTTCCCAAGAAGGGAAAAGCGGTCATTTTGGCTTCATCAATGCATCATAATGAAGGAACAAACACAGACTCAGGGAAGCCAAAAATTATACAGTTTTATAATTCTACGAAAGGCGGAGTAGATGAAATAGATAAAAAGTGCTCTGTGTATACTTGCAGCCGCCGATCAAGACGCTGGCCTAGGACAATTTTTTACCTGGTTTTGGATATTAGTTCCGTCAATTCTCATCTTTTACATGATATACATGTGGGAAAACAAACTGATAGAGGAGACTTTATAAAAAAATTAGCTCGACAGTTGGTATTAGAGCATATAAAGCGGAGATTTAGTAACCTAAGGTTGCCCCGTGAACTTAGAATGAGTTTAGCAAGATTACTTGGTTCTGATAAGCCAGAGACATGTGAAGATGGAGCTGAAGAAGTCAAGACACGAAAGACATGTCTTTCATGTCAACCTAAATTGAAAAGAAAATCGACTTATAAATGCTATTCGTGCAAAAAACACGTTTGTTTGCTGTGCGCGAAACAAGTGTACCCTGACTGTGCTTAGAATTGAAGGTGTAGTTGGACTGTGGTCATTTTTTTTTTCAGATGGTTTATGTTCTTATTAATTTTTTTTTTCTAAGAGTTATATTAGTCGTAAGTGAGAAATACTATTTGTTGTTATTCTGAGAGGAGTATTTTCTGTGTTTTGGTTTTTTATAACGAATAGTCTGAATTTTTACCAAAATTCATTCCAAATATTATTGTAGCCTAATATCAAAAAAAATAATAAAGTTGATTACCTTTCTATATTTATTTTTTCTCAAAACCCTTCATTTTTCATCATAATACAAGGACAAATAATTTAACTCATCGCTTTCTTTAAAAAACTATGTAATATAAGCGGCCTCTCAGGCCTCACATCGGTACTAACGTTACAAAAAATGCACGTCGGTACTTAAAGGATATATATATAGATTTATGAGTTTTGTTTTAGAATGAAATCAAAACTATTAAATCTATTCCAAAATTATTTTAGCTGTTCCGTGCATGATACTTTTCTATACGTTACACTTTGTTGAAACACCGTCATTATTTTAATAAAATGCAATCACGCCGGATTTAATTTTACTTTTCATTTGAAGTCGCGAAAAATATCAATGACAATAGCGAATGAAGTAAGGAATCAGATGCATATTAAAACAAGGTTGTATAAATGAACTTAGCCATTCATCGTAGAATTTCTCCCTTATGGGCCGTTCCTAAAAACGTGTGACGCAAGCTTTATAGTATGCAAAAGTAGAGAATGCAGGGTGTTTTTGCAATACGTTACAAGTTTGCAGGAGGGGATAAGGCGCTATAAAATGAGAAAATTAAATAAACGTTTGGTGGCCCAAAAGTCTACCCCTTTCGAGAAAAGCTTATTTGAGAAAGCAGGCCATTGTCAACCCGACTCTGGTCGATCAACTATATTGATTTTCGGTACAATTACGCTAACGCTTGAGCTCGGTGTATGTCGTGATTTTTCGTGAAGATTTATAGGTGATATCTCAAAGCTCATTATTGGTGTCGATTTTTTTTTACATCACAATCTCCTGATAGATGTCAGAAATCGAAAACTTCAGGATACGACGACAAAAATGACCGCTAGAGGGACAGTCATGATCGAAAATCTCCCTAGTATTAAGAACATTTTCCGTTCTACTAATTTTTCATGAACTGTTATCCATGTTCCCGGAAATAACACAACTAGATGGCAACTGTACGTGACATTCACGACTTTTCGCAGACGCTCTCCAAGAAAAAGACTTCTCTACCATAGCCTTTGTGAAGGCCTTTCACCAGATTCCTGTCACTGAAGAGGATATACTGAAAACAGCGATAACGACACCATTCGAGTTGTACGAATTTTCATACATGGGTTTTGGACTATGAAATGCTGCGCAGACCTTTCAAAGATTTATAGATGAGGTGCTTCGTGGAATGGGCTTTTGTTATGCTTACACAGATGACATGCTCGTTGCATCAGAAGCGCTAGAACAGCACGAATGTCATCTAAGGACGCTATTCTAACGTTTACAATTTTACGGCGTGTTCTTTAACACGGCGAAGTGTGTTTTCGGCGAATGAACAGTTAAGTTTCTTGGTTATCTCATTTCTAGTGAAGGAACACAGTCCCTTCCTGAGAAAATGGAAGCCATTCGTTCGTTTCCGTTGCCGAATACTGTGAAACAACTCAGTCGCTTTTTGGACGTGTTGAACTTCTATGGGCGATTTATACCCAACGCAGCAACAGTCCACGCAGTGCTGAATAACTTATTACAAGGCAACGTAAAAGGCAAAGCACCCATTCCATGGACATCAAAAACCAAATTTTGAGGCATGCAAGGGCAGTTTAGCCCAAGCTACCTACACCGAAATCACCACTAGCAGTTTTCTCTGACGCATCCGACTTAACCATTGGTGCAGTCCTGCAACATTTCGCTGATTCATCATGATAACCATTGGAATTTTTCTCAAGAAAACTATCGACAACAGAAAGAAAATATTCAGCCTACGACAGGGAGCTACTAGTCATATACGAAGCCATAAAATATTTTCGACACATGGTGGAAGGCAGACAATTCAGCATTTTCACCGATCATCTACTGCTGACATTTGTGTTCAAGAAAAAAGACGTGTACGCCTCGTATTTAACGTATTTAGATTTTATCGGATTTTCCATAGATACACGTCACGTCTCAGGAGACAGAAATGTGGTCGCTGACGCGCATTCTTAAATTGACGAGACGTCAGACGCATTTGATTTCTGAGCACTAGCAGCTGCATAAAGAACCGATGAAGAGCTGAAAACCTTAATGACCACCAAATTGATGTCGCTCCAACTAAAAAGGATAACTGTGCCAGGAGCCAATCTCGAGCTGTTATGTGATGTGTCTACCAAGAACGTGCGCCCCTTCGTCACTTCCAAATTCAGACACACCGTCTTCAACGTCACACATATTCTCTGACATCCTGGAGTAAAAGCGGCAGTCAAAATGATAACACAGCGTTATGTTTGACTGCCAATAAAAAAGGATTACAGATAATGGGCACAGAGTTGCGAAGCGCACCAACGATCCAGGGTTACACGCCATACAAAATCGCCACAAGGAACGTTCCCAGTACGTTCAGGGCGGTTCGAATTTGTCCATGTGGGTATTGTCGTCATGCTAAGTTCAGAAGGATTCCGATATTGTCTCTCGTGTGTCGACAGGTTCTCTCGCTGGCCCGAAGCTTTACCCATGATGGACCAGAAAGCCACAACTGTAGCACGGACTTTCTTTCCCTCTATATGGCTAAGTTCGACGTTCTTCTACGAATTGCCACAGTCTCTTCAAAGAACTGAATGTCCTGATCGGTGTGGAACAATTTAGAACAACCGCATACCATCCGCAATAAAACAGTCTCGTCGAGCGATTGCACCAGCAATTAAAAGGCGCAATAATGTGCCATACCAACTCCAGTTGGATGGCAGTACATTTAACAGTTTTGCTCGGAATTCAAACGGCCTGAAAAAACGACTTACAGTCTTCAGCGGCAGAGACGGTATATGGGAAATCATTCAAAATTTCAGGAGACTTTTTAACCCCAACCACTTCCATAAGCAATCCTGCAACCTATATGCAAGCTTACGCCAACACACAGAGTTTGCGTCCCATCAACGGAACCACCCATGTAACAAAAGCGACCTTCGTCTTCAGAAATATGGCTACCACAGAAAGTGTTTTCCTTCGTTGCAGTGGACCTAAGGCGTTAGTACAGCAGCCTTAAGAAGGACCCTTCCAGGCAGTTGAGGTGCACCAAAACGTTCACAATCGATGTTCGTGAACGTCACGTTGTCGTTTCGGTGGATAGCCTTAAAAACCCGCTTACATCACGGCAGATGATGGCAACAGGAAGACGCCACCGAGCGGCATGGCCTAGAGGTTTAGACCATTGCTTAGTATTCGGGAGGACGCCGGTTCGATTCCGGGTCCGTCTGCCTTGGTCCAAGTTTTTCTGTGGTTTCCTTGGATCCCTTAGGTAAATGCTGGAGCAGTAATATTCCACAGATACTCTTTCATTCTCTTCTGTCTTCATTTCGTCCGTCTCATCTTTCTCACCCGAACCACCACCCACTTATTGCCACGATTCCTGAAAGCAGGCTGAAGAGGGCCTCCCGCCCTACCTTCCGGCGTAGTCCGGAGGGACTGCCCGCCCACCAGCATTACTGGAAGATTGACACAATTAGTTACAGACAGTAATCCAGATGCAAAATTGTCTTGTACACGCTCCGGAAGACGTGCCAAGTTTCCAGATTTGCCACATATTACTTTTTACTGTGTATTATCATTTTTATATATAGCTTTGGTATTTTTCCTAATATCAATATTGTAATGTCTAACTCAATTCTTTCTTTTGTAAATATTTCCTATTGTCATTATGTAAATATCCTTTCAAATATATCTTACTGAACCTTTTGTATCCGTACCTTTCTATTATTCCCTCTGCAAATTACTGTATTACTCGTACTTTCCACTAATCCCTTAACATTTTAATTTTGCTCACTAACAACATTAGATGTATAATTTTTGTTGCTTCTTAATCGCATATTAATATTGGGTTTCTTGGTACATTGGGGCAAAATCTGTTTCTGAATATTTCATCTAATCACACTTCTTAAGTTTCATTCTCTTCTAATTCAATCCCTACTTTAGTTAAAATACTTCTAGCTCCACCCTTTTAATCTTTCAAAATTACTTCCGATCTGTTCAACTATTCCATTTGTTACTTCAGTTATTATTAATTAAATTTATTGTGTTTTCATTATGTTTCTTTTGGTTTATTTTATTTTTGCAAAAAATGCATTGTTATAACCGCGAAACCTAAAATACTTTAAAAAAGCTGTTTAATTTGTTATAGAACATCCCGTACAATTTATGAAAAATGACAGCCTTCCTTTTTTTTAACAGAATAAGATAAAAAGGCTTAGGGGACTAGTGATCTAGAATATAATAATTTTATTTGTTTAGGCCGGTATGTTTCTTTATTTCAATGAAGGATGGAATTTCTGTGGAGGATCCTTAATCACCAGAAGATACGTATTAACAGCTGCGCATTGTTTGGTGAATAAGTAAGACATTTGTTCGTAATTATTATTTTCATATTTTGTTGCAATTTGCTTTTTATTTGTTTTTAACAGACCTGTATCGGTGGAAGTAATTCTGGGTGCACACAAAATTCGTCAAACTGAACCTACCCAACAACGCATTCGAACTTCCACATACAAAGTGCACGAACAGTATAACAGTTTGCAGAATGATATAGGCATCGTCTCTCTTCCGACACCAGCTAATCTCAATCGTAAGTTTTTGCATCGATAATTTACTTCTTACTAAATATTAATTGTAACTAATAATGAATTATCAGACTTATTAATTAAAGTAAAAATTAAATTATTCGATATGTTATATACACTATTTATTTATTTGTAGCTTTTCAATATCTATTTAATATTTATATACACATGGGAAAGCCTGTAATAAAAGTTCAAGTAAAGTCAAAGCCCCTTTTTTAGTATAATTTTCGGATTTACCACTTCGAATTATTTTATTCGATTTTGGTAACGTGCCTATCACGTTGAGGTTAGCTACGCCGGGATTCGTTTCAGAAAGTAGATATCCATATATTCAAATGGACCTTGTTGGAGCATACATACCTAAACCTAAAATGTAGCATCGTACTACAGATGGCGTTTACCGCGCCATTTGTGGTATTTTCTAAATCGATCGAAATCGCGATCCGCGTCTGGCAGTTTCGACAGAATACAGACCACTTCGAATTATTTTATTCGTGTTTGCAATTTTACAAAACCTAATTCAATTTTTCACAGAGTATGTTCAACTGATTGCACTTCCCCGTAGAGCTGACATTTCGAATAGTTTCGCGGGATCTGAGGCAATAGCAAGTGGTTGGGGATACACTTCTACTTCTGCTGCCGATATCAGTGACGTATTGCGATATATTAATGTTCCCATTATAACAAACGACGTGTGTAATGCAACAATACCGGGCATTACAGGCTCAATGGTTTGTTCTGGAGGAGCGGGCAATAAAGGGGTTTGTTATGGAGATTCAGGCGGACCTCTTATGGCCAGTAGAAAATTGGTAACTATAAGTTTAAAAAATTGAGCATTCACTGTCACCCAGTGTTGGTTGAAGCTGTGGTAGCAGGGCATCTCCCATTGATAAGTTGACGGTTGTTTGTTGTGAGTGAAGAATGATGATGAGTAAATTGTCATATCGCGGCTCAATCTTTCTATTTAGAAGAATCTCATTATTAGAGTCGCTGTTACATGTTTGAAATATAGGTTCTCTAGGTATAAGTAGGTTGCAGTCGGGCATTTAATAAATAAAATATTAAAAAAGAGTATTCAAATACAAATATAAATATTTTTTTTATGAATATGTATTTAAATACAAATACAAGTATTTATTAACAGGATATATTTAAATGTTTCAAAAGTATTTGAAATACTGCAACAAATATTAAGGTTTATAAAATATTTTATAATTATTTGTTTTTGAAAATTTATGGGGAAGTATCCAGATTGATACAACAGGTCGTGTTCCCGACAAGAAAGAATAAAAGAGATAGAACTGAAGCCGGGAACTCGATAAATACAAAACGATGTAGAACAAATTCAAAAGTAAGTCGCGCGGTCTGATGGACTGACAAAAAAAGAATAAAACTAAAGAAAAGTTTTATTTTTTAAGCAAGTATATACCTACCTAATATAAGAGAATAATATTCAAATACAAGTACAAATACTGCAGCTTTATTTATGTACGGCTGGCTGCCGTGCACCGCGACCACGTTAGCATCCCCAGATGGCAGAAAGTCCTGGCGAGGCATTGCATCATACCTAGTACAGGGTTTGCCCGGAAAGTAATAGGACTGAGTCGATTTAAAAAAATTTATTGAGCCAATCGTTACAATTCTTAAAAAACTTTCAAAATAGGCTCCTTCTGCGTCGATGCAGCGCTGCCAGCGGGATTTCCAAGCATTGAAGGCGTCACGGAAGGCATTCTCCGGAATAGCCTTAAGAGCCGCGGTGCATGCTGCTTGGATCCCCTCTGTCGTCTCAAAATGCTTGCCTTTCATCGGCCTTTTCAGGCGAGCAAACAAAAAAGTCCGGGGGGGCACATCTGGGCTGTAGGGCGGCTGCGGAAGCGTTGGGATGCCGGCCTTGGTCAGGTAGCTGTCCACAAGAAAGGCGGTGTGAGCCGGGGCGTTGTCGTGGTACAACGTCCAGTCGGCTGCGATGTCTTGTCGGACCCGATTGACCCTTTCGTTTGAGTCTCTTGAGCACTTCCACGTAACACTTGGCTTTGACGGTTTGTCCAGGAGGAACAAATTCACGGTGGACGATGCCTCTCATGTCAAAAAAGACAATGAGCATCGTTTTCGCTTTGGATTTACTCATTCCCCTACCAGTCGGAAGATTGCCTCTTTGTCTCGGGATCATACTCAAAGATCCATGACTCGTCACCTGTGATTACGTTATTCAAAAATTGAGGGTCACATTCACACATGTTTAAATTTTCTTGGCACACTTCCACTAGCCGCAATTTCTTCATTTAGATTAGGGTACCTATGTGCCTAGGATGTGGAAAGTAGCAGAAATTATGTTTCATGAACCAGGCAAAGCCTCTCACGACGTTGTATCATACAGGCCAATGTCCTTACTTCTTATATTATCAAAGTTATTCGAAATAATAATCCTGAAAAGAATGAAACCTATCATTGAAGAAAGGAATTTAATATCAAACCATCAGCTCAGCTTTAGAGAAAGGCACTCAACTATAGACCAGGTACATATAATTACAAATGTGACACAAAAAGCGTTAGAAAACGAAGAAGTGTGCTATCCCATGTTTCTCGATGTTGCACAAGCCTTCGATAAAATGTGCATGGTGGGTTAAATTACAAGTTAAATAAGCTACTTCTACTAAAATACTCGGAATTATTAGAACGTTACATCTCAAGCAAAGTCATCAGAGTAAAACAAAGAAATGCATACAAGAATTAAAAGAGATCGGAGCAGAAGTGCCACAAGGAAGTGTCCTAGGCCCTATCTTGTACTTGACCTACACCAGTGACATATCATACCTAGAACAAGACATTATAGCCACCTTTGCAAACGATGCCGCTATTCTAGCGGTAGGCAAAAAACACGCAGAAGCTGAAAATAAACTACAAACAACAGTTAAGCAAATATACAATTGGACCAAAAGATGGTGAATCAAATTGAACGAATCTAAATCTGTACACATGAACTTCACAAATAAAAGTAATCAACAAATACCAATCTTTATAAATTACGTCAGATTCTTTACGCAAATTCGGCAAAATATCTAGGTATAACATTAGACGCAAGACTTCGCTAGAAGATCCATGTTAAAAAGAAAAGCGAAAAACTCAATATAAGATATAAGAAAATGCACTGAATACATGGTAGGCACTCCAGCCTATTAATGTACAACAAAAACTTTTTTGTACAAACAAATCCACAAACCAGTGTGGACTTATCGCTTGCAGCTCTAGGGATGTGCCAGCAAAAGTAATATCATAATCATCCAGCGATACCAGAATAAAGTACATCAAAAACAGTGATCTCCATCGGTACTTCAGATGGACACCCATGTCAATGCCCGCACATCCAAATCTTTATGCACTCTACGTACCTTATATTTCATTATTTCTCATATTTTCCCTATCATTTCATTGCACCTATGTAACTCTTACCTGCACACATTCCAAACTTTGTTGGACAATATTTCAGAATATTTTAAAATGCTATAAAAAGAATTATTTCATTCAACAAATTATACTCATTCCACAATTTAATTTTAATCAAAACGAAGAAATTGTCATAGGTATGGTGAAATGATCAATGACCAACAATTTAGTAGTATCAGTCTGAAAATTACTGATATGCAATAATACTGATATCCTTTGTTGTATCTCTTGCAGGTTGGAATTGCTATATCTATAGGTCTCAATGGTTGTGAAGCTGGAGACCCATCCATCTTTACTAGGGTAACATCACATTTAGACTGGATCTCAGCAAACAGTGATGCCGTAATTTCTTAAATGTTCCTTAAACATCAAAGCAAATTTTGAAAATAAACAATTATGTATTGATATTGAATAGACCTTTATATATTTTTATATAAGTATAGTATATATTAATACATAAATATTCTATGTATTTAGAATGTTGACTTGGCATGGAATAATGTTTGGCACATTTTTATCCCCTCTCATAATACTTATATCTTTAAATCATGCAAGCTGATGGAGTCACGTGTGCCTATAAAAAACACAAAAATTAGCTTATAATTGATATACACCTTCAAATTAATCTCACTGATTTTCCTTAACTTTTGGTCGTTACGACATACATAGTGCCCTATGGCAATATTGTTAGAGCTGTTTTAATATACAAGGGATACCAGGACAAAACGAGGTTCGGGGAAAGACGGGAAGTGCGCTAATGTACATAATTCGTATGCACCTATGTTCCCTCGACAGAACTATTCGAGCATCCTACGTGAGTCAGCTGGAAGGAAACGTGTCCCTGTTTTTGTTGGTAACATTCTGTGAAAAAGTTGAATTTATTCATAATTCTACGAAGTTTTGTAACAAGCGTTGACGTGACGAGTAACTAAGCTTTTGCAATATTTTTAGCCCTAGATCGTAGCAGTAGTTCTGAAGTTTCATATTCCGTGTTCTAGAATGATCCAATATATGCCGTTTAGAAACCTGGCCTTCCTTGCCACTGTACTTGTTAGGTTACCTCCATACATGTAACAATAGGTAATTTTGGACACACCAAATATTTTTCTTCTCTTGATCTAACTAGCTGATTTCATCAGATAAAACTCCATACGAACTCAATTTCCAAAACAGAACTTGCAATTTAAATTTTTAAGAATGTCATTTGGTTTAACTAACTACTACACCAACTACCTTTCAAAGAATAATGAATAATGTTTTAACTCTTCTTAATTCTATACACAATGTCTCTTACATCTTGATGATATAAGTTGTGAAAACTCCTTAAAAGTCCACTGTTCACAAATTACGAAATGCTTTAAAGCGACTTCGAGAACAAAATCTGGAAATTCAGCCCGATAGATTGCAATTTCTTCGAGAAGAAGCAGTTTTCTTAGAACACATAATTAGAACAGACGATATTAAACCTGATCCAAAAAAGATAGGTGCTGTAAAAATTAAGAATAATAGAAAACAAGGTGTCTTATGTATCTTCTGCATTTAAATGTTGACAATATTGATATTGACATGTGAAAACTTTTTGAATTGTCAAATGTGTTGTGCAGCGTACCATTTATAATATTTAAGGGTAAAAACAGTCAAATTGTTAAATATAATTCCAATGTCGAAGTCTGATAAAATGGTAATGGTGTCTGTATAATCACATAGTAGTTTGCGTGCGTAATCTGCAAAAATTGATGCGAAATATAATTTTTCATTGAGTGGTATGTATATTTTAGTAATTTATACTGTGGCGATTTTATATTTTTTATAAAAACAATTATTATTTTTTAAAGTGAAGTGTTGAGTGTGTGTTTGTATATTTGCTGATGTCTGTGGAAATTGTATTACTTGTATTTGTGTGTTTGGAATTTTTGTAAATGTCTTTCTGTATTATTGTCGTTGTAAATTTCATTGTGTTATATTATTGTTGTGTAAATATTCTTTCCTAATAATTCTATTTCTATACTTACTCTTTACCTGTTCTGTGTCTATTCTTCGCTTAAACGACTATTTAATTGCCTTCGTACTTTCCTATAATCTCTTAATAACATTTCAACCCTGCATACTAACTGCATGACATTTATAGTCCTTACTATTCCTAATTGCTATTTTATGATGGGTCTGTTCGGTTATTTGGGTTCAAACTTAACTTCTCGGTATTTGGAAAATACCACAAATGGCGCGGTAAACGCCATCTGTAGTACGATGCTACATTTTAGGATTACGTATGCTCCAACAAGGTCCATTTAAATATATGGATATCTACATGCTGAAACGAATACCAATAAAAGTTGGTCTCTGTTCTCTCGGAGCTGCCTGCGACGAGCTGATGAGATCCAAAAAGATCGAAATGGTGATCCGCGTCTGAAGGTTTCGACAGAATACAGACCACTTCGAATTTTTTTATTCGATTATGGCAACGTGCCTATAACGTTGAGGTTAGCTACGCCGGGATCGTTTCAGCAAGTAGATATCCAAATATTTAAAAGGATCTTGTTGGAGCATACGTAATCCTTAAATGTAGCATCGTACTACAGATGGCGTTTACTGCGCTATTTGTGGTATTTTCTAAAACGCGCTGTTAAGACAGCAGGTAAAAGTTGGTATGTGTTCTGTCGGAGGTGCCTGCGACTCGCTGATGAAATCCAAAAAGATCGAAATCGCTATCCGCGTCTGGCAGTTTCGACAGAATACAAACCACTTCGAATTATTTTATTCTCAGTATTTCTTCTAAACGACATTTTCGGATTTCATAAGTAACTTATTGGTTCCCTACTTTAATCACTTATTTCTAACTCCTCATTATCACCCTTTCTACAATGTCTTTTCAAAAACTAAAATCAGTTGTGACCTGTGCTTCCTAACTTCAACTTCAACTTCAACTTCTACTTTTAAATTTCTAGTCTTTATTACATTTTCTGTAAATTAAATACTTTACCGTTTCCACGCATTATTTCAAAATACCTTTCCCCATGAGTGTTTTCCAACTTTGCAAGTGGTAAATATGTGTGTCGGCTCATTTTATACCTATAGAAGTCAACAAAGCTTCGGTTCTTTAGGTACATATTTAACAGCTAATGATATAGCAGTGAGGCAATTCACTTTGTTTATAACTTTTACCAACTTTGAACTCAAAATTATAATCAACTATAAATATGTTGTATTACGAAGCTATAAGTAAACTGTGGGTAAAACTTCCGTATCACGGCTCATTCTTGTTGGGAATGCCTTAAAATGAGTAATTATGAAAAACGTACATGAAATAATCGGGTGAAAGGTGTTTTAAAGAAGTTTTAATTGAAGATAAAATCTCCAAATATTTAGGGACCAAATCGTTCCAAATGGTCTCGATTTTGGCCATCCAATTGTCAATCGAGCGTTCAATCCCTTTCTCAAAGATATCTTTCATCAATTTTCATTGTGTAGTGATCATAGTTTGATTAATGTTGCGCGTCGTCTGTCATTGGCATCGAGTAGTGGACGCCTTCCCTGTCCAAGCCTCTGTTCGACCCCTTCACCCGCTCGCAGACGCCGGACAGTCCGGTAAACTGTTACCTGGGATATACCCGTTATAGCCATCAGATATTGCGGGTCTGTGTGGCCCCTATCCCAGTACCACTGAAGTGTTCTTCTGGCAACGTGTGCCGCGTTCTTGTGGCCAACTTTGCTCTTTAGTCCAGTCAAAATAGACATTTGACTTAACCAAAATTCGCATAGAGCCGAAAATTTGCAGAGACGTTAAATACGTCAATATAAATAAAATGTCAAAAGTTCCCTTCGATCGTACTTCTGCAAAAAATTTTATTGAAGGTCCAAAGTGCAAAATTAAGGTTTTTTCCATTTTTCTCGAAAACGGTAAGTTTTATGGTGGAAATAAGTCAGACAGAAGTTATAGACCATACAATTCTCTACAAAAATGGTCTAGTCACTTTTTCACCTACGATTAACCATTCGTGAGATATCGCGGTTTCAAACACTAGAAAATTCATATTTTACATAATATGCACACATTTCCGTGCACCACCTATGAAGTAATGTACTTGACGAATTTTTTTAACGTGGTTTCCCCAGTAAGTTTACTCTACGATCTATTGTCATTAAGAAAGTTTGATCAGATCGTATCCTATTGATTGAAAAAATGGTAATATTGCTAACGATCAATGTGGAATGGGTGGCTTTCTTCTAAATGTTATTATATATAGATAATTGTCTAATTCTACTTCGACAATTATTTCTTCGTCTTCATTTTCTTCTTGCAGAATTTCTGTTCACTGTTCTAAGAAAATGAATGCATCAATTGTCTTTTCATTAATATCATAAATATTGTCATCTGTTGTATTTGTTTTAATATTGGAGCCAGTCTGACCCTGACAATTGATGCATACTGGCGAACAAAATAGTCCCACTTTTTGACAGCCACAATTCTTACTACAATCCGTCTTGCATTTACAAAAAAATAGTATTAAACAGTTTTTCTGGAGCAGACGGGAGTAGAGTTTGAATTGGCTCCAAATAATTGTCTGTTAATTTCCAACCCCATCCTTCTGGGTCCAGCTCATTGCCTAGCCACACTTGAACTTGATAATACACACGATACAAGCGTTGAGAGGCAGAAGCAGATGTTGAAGGCAGACAAGACAACTGTACTGTACAGCAGTATTTAAATTGTTCGAAAAACGTAATGATTTAATTGATTGCGCAGAAGTATTTACAAAGATTGACTCTTCTCCACATGACATCGTTACAAATGAAATTCGTTTTCTTCTTGCAATGGTGCTTCAAAAACAATTGATTCCACAGACAAATATAGATATTTGAGGTTTGTAAAATCTGCATGGAACAATAAAACGGTACAGTACATTATCTCATAGGTGGTGCGGAAATGTGTGCATATTATGTAAAATATGAGTTTTCTAATGATTAAAACCGCGATATCTCATGAATGGTGAGTCGTAAGTGAAAAAGTGACTAGACCATTGTTGTAGAGAATTGTATGATCTACAACTTTTGCCTGACCTATTTTCACGATAAAACTTACCGTTTTCGAGAAAAATGGAAAAAACCTTAATTTTACACTTTTGACCTTGAATAAAATTTTTTGCAGAAGTACAATCGAAGGGGACTTTTGACATTTTATTTATAATGACGTATTTAACGTCTCTGCCAATTTTCAGCTCTATGCGAATTTTGGCTAAGTCAAATGTCTATTTTGACTGGACTAG